TCACCTTACACGAAATAGGGTGAATACATCTAATTACACTGATTTACTGGTAGTCTCGAAACCCTACTCTAATATTAATTACAACGTATTATAAAGATTAATCTGCAGAATTTCTATTACGCATGACTTATTGAGGAAATAGTTTTACTACATAAATGAAGCATACCAACAAATAATTCTAAAAGAACCTGATCGTTGTGTCAGGGAGACCTTGTGGAACGTACCTAGTCCCGTGTCCTCTGCCATAGTATTCGTGAGTTCCAGCATTGGACAACTGGCTAGATAAATTCCAAATTGTTTTGCCGGTATCGTCAGTGAGAGACACCATCATAAGCACATAAGTACAACTTATCACAGTGATAAGTGAAGGCAATCCCCTTGAACAATTTTATGATCAACCATTGTGACATCAATCCTCGCCCCTATGTTTCGTTCTAACTTCTGGTTCCGCATCTCCTTCTCCCAACCCCACTTTATATGGTCCATCAAATTATTCACACAATTCTATGCTCTCATTCATCTTAAGAGTATGTCGCTGCAAGTAGGTTTGGTGAAGCATAATAATCTCCAACACGGATACCAGATGATATTTGTAGGTCTCCTGACACACATTCTGTCCCTCCTTTTTTCTCTCCCCGCTTATCAATAGGTTGCTGCTAAACATCAAAATAACTGTTTGCCTGACTAAAATCTGGCTTTCTAAGAGCCTTCGACTTCCTTCATCGATTACTCCATATTCAAGGCTTTAAAGCAGATGATGCTCATGCACGTACCAGTGCCTAAAAATCTCTCTCTCCTTAGGCCTCAAACCCATGACTTGAATATCCTCTCCCTCATCCCCACCCATATTGTGTCTCATTCTTTCGGGTCCTGTGTATTAACCGCTGGTGTAAGAATGCATGTCTTCCCTTTTAGGAAAAGTCGTTTATTGAGAGTTTCCTCGGAGCGAATGACGTCCAAATCCAAGAAAGGTAAATATCCGTTCTCTTCTACATTCATAATAAATTTGATTATTCACCGATTACGTTTAGGAAAATCAGAAAATCGTCTACTTTTTCTCTTCCAAGTGACTTGATTGCGAAGCAGTCATCCAAATGTTAGTGAATATGGGCTGTACATCAACGCTCACCATAAATTCGTTTCCTTCCAAACTGATTACTATGATCACTCCGCTAAATTCCTAGAGGTTTCTCACTGTATTCGATAATCAGTCATTCAATTTCTTCAGTTTTGAGGCAGATAAATTTCGCCAATTCATGGGTTAGTCCATGTTTGTTTTTGACTATCAATCTCAAAGGTTATCTTTCTTTGTGTTCCTTCCGCAAACCGTATGCAACTAGGGCTCTTGCATCCTTTCGTATGATTGAGGTCATTGTCCACTTGTCGATTTCCCCGTTGACACTAATTTCCTTATGAATTTATTGCAGTGTCCATATGATTTTAACCTTTGGGTCTTTTGTTACTATTGTCCATTTTCCTTGTATATTCCTAAATATCCATCACAACTGTGGCACCTCTTTTGTCGGCTTTTAAGACTATTTAATCGCTTCCCTTCGATTATATATATATATATTCGTTATATTGTTCCTATGTGTGGGTTCTTGATGCGCCAAGAATGTTGAGATAATTACCAGTCCCAGCTCTCTCTCTATCTCTGATTCTTTATGTAGCTTCTCAGAGGTATTTATCATCTCTAATAAAATGTTTTTAATTGCCTCCCTTTCATTCGTAAGTTCAAAATGTAGTCTCATCTTGAGGATCTCTGTTGTTTCCAGGTCAAGAGGGACGTAAGACAAATTCACTACTGTATCATCATTACTGGTCTGGAATGTGAGAACTGTCATCCTATGGGCATCTACATTTTTGACGGAGGGTTAGACCTTTGGCTGCTTATAAATTTCCTACTTGTCTACCTTCTTTTGGTTCCTTTTCTTATTAAGTATGATATCCATTTAGGCCATAATGTGGGCTTCAAGAAATCCTCCAGAGTGAGAATCGGACCCAAATCATGCCTAAGTCTAGATTTAATATCTAAAAATTAAATAATGTTTACCTCTCTATATCATATGTCTCCTCTAATTTTTGCAAAGAAGCTTGATATATTACAACATTGACTTTATCGGAATGATATTTTCTCATCAAATTGTAAAAATTATGAGGGATGCCATAACTTTTACAGCAGTTGAGAAAGGTCAAATGACAAGATTAACTTACGATTGTTTTCTTTGATCTGCCATAATCAGTACATTGGGTAGGAATGATGCCACAACGGTAGGACAGAATATTAGTCAGGGAGAATGCCTTCATTTGTAAATTTTAAAGGTTGTTACTCTGTACTTACAATGGTGCCTCTTACTGACGATGTCGACTACGATGCCGGTGAAAGGTTTAGAAATGTACCAAGTCAATGATCAAATACTATAAATCATGAATACTATGGCAGAGGACACGGAACTAGGTACGTTCCACAAGGTCTCCCTGACACTCCAACCAATTTGAAAACAACAAGATCGAACTAACACCATAAAGCTAAATGAGACTACGCACTACATAAGAAGATACTATCTTGTTCTTTATATCTACGATCTTATCATGAAGAGTTGTCAACACTAGTATGAGAAATGTGTAATTACTTAATTTATGATACACTGAGTAAGCTGGTGATTGTAGTAACATCAGGCCTCTGCTAAAGTTTCACAATAGTAACATTGCCCGATTAATAGTTTATAGACTTGATTTTTTCCTCTAATATGTAAACCATCGCAACTCTAGGGCTTCCCTATTCTTGGCTCTAAGTGGAAAAATCAATTCAGGGTAGATTCCCTTATGTATCTGAACTATACCTTGGCATACTTTTACACTTAAGTATTAAGTACCATTGCAAGGGTAAGATTCCATAATAATCTACTAAAAATATTTGTAAGTTTTTTTGAAAAGACATTTTTATATTAATAAATTAGTAATCTATTATTGGCTATTATGTTTTACTGTATCAGCTACGCGTTCTATTATATCTACCGCGTTGCTCTCAACCTATCACTACTATTCTTCACTTTTCTCTATGTCCGTGAGTCTGGAAAATTGTCAATCATTATATCACTATGTTATCCTTTGCGCCAATTATGCGCTATGAGTTGGATGCAAATAAAATTATGGTTGCATGTTTGTATATATGCTTGTGTTCAAACCTTTAGCACAATTGAAGCTAAATTTATCCATTCGAAGTATGGTCTCATATAAGCGGTGTTTTCCCC